TATATATATATATATATATATATATATATATATTATATATATAATATACCAGAAATAAAATTCAACCAAGCCAGAGTGCATGTATACAAAAACATATGAACAAACTGGGGAATGAAGAGGAAAAAAGAACAAGAAAGATCACTTAAGATCTCTCAAGGGTTTTAGAAAATAACACTCATATTGAAATGTTATTGCTCCCATGTACCAGCACCATAAATATATCTGATTGTCCCTACAAGCATATAAATACCTGAAATTGTAGGACACAAAAGACTACTGTACACACACCTGAATATTGTCACCTCTGGGATGCTTTCGGGCTCCCTTCTCAGGAACATTGACAACCTTGATTGGAAAGAATGCTACAGGATCAATATAAAATAAATTGCTAAAATGCAGAATTAGATAAATAACCAGGAGATTTAACTATCCTTGGCTTTGCTGCTCCAACATCATTTAAGCAGCAGTTTCACAAAACTATAAACGCACTACATTTCAATGTTGATCATTATGAAAAGAACTAACCGTTCCCTCAAGCATCTTTAGTAATGCCTGCTGCACACCTTCACCAGAAACATCTCTACTGATATTAAGGCTCTCAGCCTGAAATGTAAAGGTAGATGTTGAAAAAAGCAGACAAATATTTGGTTTTGAAATTTGACAGATGGGAGAAAAAAAAGTCACAGGGAGGAACCTTTTTGGTAATCTTGTCAACTTCATCAATGTAAACAATGCCTTGCTGTGCAGCTGCCACATTATAATCTGCAACCTGAAATAAACTCATGCAATGTTGATTCAGACTACAGTTTGCGATGCTATGTTTGTTCATATATGATTCTTACATCAAACTGCAACCAGTACACTTGAAAAAAATGCAATAAATTTTTTAAAGATTAATAGACCATGGACATGGAGAAAATCATACTTCAAAATAACTGAAGTGAGTTGAAGATAGAAGAAAATAGTTCCCAATAACAGGAAGTTTTGCAATAGCATGCATAAGTATAAGTCAAGTCAGCACAGCACTATATGCTATGTTCAAACCATAGAAGTACAAGAACTGAAACCTTATGAATTATGATCTACAATAGGTTAAATCACACATCAAACATTTTAAACCCATTAAGTTTCGCTTCTCATGAATAAGGCTTTGAAACATTAAAAAGCAAGGAAATACTACTTTTATATGTTTACATTTTTTGTCCAAATAACAAAATTAATCCCTCAATGATTGGACATAAATTATCATAAAAATTACTATTTTGTATTAAAAACACAGTCATTTTTCATATTATTTACCACGAGGAGCTTGTATAATATGGATTCCACATCCTCTCCAACATAACCTGCCTGTACAAAGGTGACATTTGGGGTTAGACACATAACATAAACACACGACTTCCACAGAGCAAAAGTTAAGATGAATATGATTATTTTGAAAAATGGAAAAAGACATATAAATGCATGACTTCTAATCACAGAGAAAAGGGAAGAAAACGATTCCCAAAGTACCCTCAGGGCATTTTGAATTTAATGAAAGGAAATGTTCTGTGTGTGTGTGTGTGAATATATATATATATATATATATATATTTCTTTGTGTTCAGAATTTGCACAGGTTGTCTACACCTTTTGAGAACATTAGATTACAGGATGGCACAAATGTGTGTCTTTTATGCTGAAAAGTTACAACCTATAGAGAGCTTTCAAGTCTTTGAAAAGAAGAAACCTCCAAACAAAAACAATTTTTTCCCCTGTCCCCGCCCCTCTTTTTTTTTTCTTTCTCAAGGAGATGAAAAATCAGAAAACAAGAATAAAGCTCACAAACTTGCCTGAGTAAGTGAAGTTGCATCTGCAATAACAAAGGGCACATTTACAAACCGAGCCAAGGTTTTGGCAAGTAATGTCTTCCCTGTCCTTGAAACGGCATCAAAGAAAAACAAGTTACACTAGTAACCAGGAATAACAAGGCACTAATGAATTGTTCAAAGAAATGAAGATATGAAATGCAAAGGACCCAAAAACACTTCTAACTTGTATCCAATCAGACTCATTATGCAAAACTAGAAGACTATAAACAATATAACAGAAGGCAAAAACTGGTTTACCTGATCCTGTTGGCCCCATTAGAAGGATATTGCTTTTCTCAAGTTCAACTTTATCATCATCAACAGCTTCAGCCTTCACATTACCATCTGAATCTCCTGCAGGCCTAACATTCCAAATAGTAAGAACATGTGAAAATCACTAAAAACCAACACACAATCAACAGAGTTGATGAAAGGCAAAACTCATTATAGAAAGGACAAAAACACAGTTAAGTAACGGCACCAACCACTTAGGCGAAGGGAACTCGTTAAATATTCTCTTATAGTGATTATAAACCGCCACAGAAAGCACCTGAAAAACGCAATTGAACCACAAATGAGACCACCAAAACTCACAGAAAAAAAAAAACGGACCCAAAATAAAAATGCCACCTTTTTGGCCCTCTCTTGTCCAATCACGAATTTATCGAGCCCCTTGCAAATCTCCTTGGGCGTCGGGAAATTGGTCCCCAAATTGGAGCCGCCCCAACACCCCTCCTTGGAATCGCCGGAATTGGGGGCGGCGGCGCCGGTGAGTTCGAAATTGGAACTCCCGGGGCGAACGACAATCCCGCCGCCGGACCATACTTCCGGTGGGTCCCCCAACGAGGCGGCGACGTTCCAGCGTCCCCGTTCCCCGAAGGCGGCGTGCGGAGAAGGCAAGCGAGGGGTGCCGGCGCGTGAGAAGGTGAAGACCAATCGCCTGAAGTGGCAAAGCGCGAGGGTGGCTGTTTCCCTGTAAGTGCAGGACTTGGATCGAAACGCGAGCATGGTTGTCGTTTGGATTGGAGAGTGGATAATGAATAGGGAAGTTAAGATGTGTGGGGAGGAGACATTGAAGGAGAAGAATTAAGGTTGGCGCGAGGAAGAGGTGAGTGATTTGATAATTTAGATGATGTTGTGTTGTCGTGAGTAAAACAGAAACGCTACAGTACCGAAGAACCACGAATGACTAAACACCGGTTTCAGAAAGCGAAGTGAACCGCAGAGAGGTTCACGAAATGGAGTAAGATACGTCTTCTGAACAGATTTTTTTTTTTTTTTAAGGATAAAATAAAATAAACCAGCTCCTAAAAATATCTTTTCAATTTTAAAGATTTTTCTCGTCCTCAATTCGGATAAATGGTGAATAAGTAGTTTTTGTTTTCGTGTTACGCATAAATTTATGTACAATTGATTTGGATTAAAAAAATATTTTTTATTTTAACAAACAAAATTTGAATAAGAAAGAATTAGAGGAACAAAATTATACATACATTAATTATAAAAAGATTAAAAAAAAGAGAGAGAGGAAGCAATTCACTGCACATGCTTAAAAATTTCTTACCTTTATGACAAATCAATCCAATAACCTTTCTAAATATTTTTTTATCTTTATTTTTATTTTTTGAATTAATTTATTGGAACTAGATTCGCTACATGATAGTTAAAAGTAAAAATATCAAAATAAACTCATCACTAAAATTTATTTAATTTGAAGAAACATTGTTGGGAAACTATTTTTTAGAAAATACTAATTCAAAAAATTGGATTTTTTATGATCTAAACTGCCTTTTTTTTATTAGATAATCTCGTTAAAGTCATAAATATATTTAATTAAAAATATTTTAAAAGAAAATTGAATTTCATGGTTAATTTTTAAAAATATATTTTGCCCTCAACTAAAAGTAAATAAAAAGTTTTGAAATAATGCAACCATTGGTATAATTAAAAATTTCAAGTATTTCTGAAAAAATAATTTTAACTTGATTGATTATTTCTTACTCAATTTTAACATCATTTTTTTCTTTTAACGCGTAAAGTCTAACTCATAAAAAAAATAATAAAAAAAAAAAAAAAAGGAAACAAAACAATAGAATGGGCTTCAGCTTAAACAAGAACTTTATGGGCTCATTTCCATTTTGCACCCAATGAGTAAATAACTAGGACACCATGTTCAGAGTCCGAGGAATGAACGGTGGAGATTAGACATTTGAGGGAGGAAAACAACTCGCAGAGGAGATAATGTTCTTGCATGTATCCTCTCTTTTAGCATTCTATTTTAATTTTCTCTCACCGTGTTGCTATCAGACCTTTTCATATTGTTTTGTCCTTTTCCAGAACCTCTAGTGTAATTTTAAGAGTTTTGACCTTTTTCAGGAGGCACAACATTGGCCCTTCAATTACATAACAACTACATGTTCAACCTGCTGAAGCTTTTTCACTAAGTAGGTACTTTTCCTTGAAAAATAACTACAAATTATATACAATTATATCAAATATTTATTATTTATAAATATATAGAACATATTATCTATATTTTCCTATCCCCTTTAAATCAAGCAAGCTTACATTTCTCTTCTTTTCTTCTCTTAAACCAAACTGCATGCAGGATGGATTATTGGATTATACAACACAACCTCTAATCCAAAGGCCAAATCAAGTACATAACCGAACCAAACACGGAGACTGGAAAATATATGCAATCCAGCATACTTTTACAAACTTACCCTCTCGTTTTGGTAAATTAAACTAATTAATTTTTATCAAATCAATGTTATTCAATCTAAATTTTTCTTGGGAATATTTTTCTCCGCTTAAAATGATCCAGACGTCATTAAACAATCCACCGATTCCCCATCGAAAGAGAAAGAAAGGGGGACTTTCAAAAACTGCAGAAAAAATAATGGAAGACGGAGAACTACAGTTGAATGAAAAATTTTAAAACTACGAGCGGAAAAATGGTTAACAGAGATGTACAATATTCACAGCCTCAAATCACACTCAATTCAGGAGTAGGATGGGCTAACAGATATACAAAGAACCAAGAAAAGGTTATCCTAGACTGTATGTCTTGTCTCGAAGGATAATCATGCATACTGACAGGTAAATCTGATACCAGTGTCTGGAAGGCTAATCTGATTTTTCTTCACAGCAAAACTTGATTAAAATTAAAGCCTTAACTGAAGAAAGACCTCCAGCTTCAGAAAAACAATGTGTTTGTTTTACTATCCAAAATTTATCTTCCAATTTTAAGAAGTCAAAATGAGAACATTCTCCTTCCAGAGCCACATTACAAAATGGTATAGCTACAAGCAACAAATTGCCAGCCACAGACTCTCTTCTTCATAGTATGCTGTCAGCCTTAATTCAATCATCTAGATATGAATCTGTCAGGAGCGGTCTGAGCCTGATGGTGCCATTAGATTGAAGTAGCATAACTACGGTGAGTTATATCACAATTAAGACTATAATTCAAATGATGTCAGAAATGGAAAGCTTCTATCAATTGAAACAACAATGTGCACTAGATATTTGATAAGCTTGCAAGTAGATAATTTAACATATGCATGCATCAGTATTCAGTACGAGACTCTTTCTCTTGAAATTAATAGGCAACAACCATTGTTGAGTTTGATAGTCTTTTAGAATATAATTATTCACAAAACAAAACTACCTCAAAGAGAAAGGAACTTTGGAGCTTTAAAAGAGAATGGAACTTCTCCAAAAGTACTTATAATAGAATAAAATAAGAAGAAAAATCAAAATAAGTTTCCTCATAAGCTAAAATTAGCTTATATCTAAATTAAAAATAAAATTTTGGAGAAATTCATATAAAAGAACTTCTAAAAATTAACTTGTAAATAAGTTAATTTTAACTCATAGAGAAACTTATTTCATTTTTCTTTTCTATTTTTCTCTCCCAGAAATGCTTCTAGATAAGTTTACCCAATCAGACTTTAAATAATAGAATAAATTCCTAAAATGTTGGTAGAAGTAACTTAAACTGACTTGCATGGGGTCAAAACAACATATGACTAAATCACCTAGGTTTAAAATCCATTTTCCAGATAGATTGATTACCTGAGTGGCATCTGATGAACTTTGTGCCAAATACTTGAGATAATCAGTCTTCTTTTTATTGAAATTGAACCTCGTCATGTCCAACAACAGCTGTTCCCTTTTTAATTCCTCCAGAATCTTTTCTTTCTTCCATTTGACATCCTTCAATTCTCTCTCAATTTCAATGTGGTGGCTATCAAGCCCTGTTGATCTTTCAGGTCGGGCAAATCTCACATCAACATCTTCCCTGCACATTCCCCAGGCCTTTTGAATTCACATATTTGATTATTGTATTCTTTTGACAACAAATTACAACAAACAGCAATCTAATGTTTCAAAAATGAAGCTTACTCTTTAAAAAAAAAACAGATCTATAAACAGATTTGAAAAACATAACAGTTCCTCATCAGTTAATACAAAAAAAAAAAGTGTATCAAAGCAAGAACCTGCAAAACATTAAATTTTCAAGTTTCAATGATCATCCGTTGATGTTCTATGTTGTGTGAAAATATATCAAGACTCAGTTCATATCACAAGTTTCTATACAATTTCTAGTAAAATATTGAGATAATTGACATTGTAGGACGCCATTATGGATAGCATTATTTTTGTATACTACAGTTAATCCAACTGAACCACCCACATCTTAAGAAATTGAAAAGATTTCTGTGGAATACAATTGCAAGAAAGATTATTCTCCCGCCAATATCTTCTGTTTTCTACTCAAAATGGAAAACAGAGTTATTTCCATTCCCAGGATGGCATAATTTAAGGTTTCAACCTGCTATATAATATGAGAGAGAGAGAGAGAGATTACACATTGTGTACAACTAAAATCCTGTCATTCATACTCTTACCTATTGCCCAAGGAATATACACCACAACTCCTAACCATCCCTCCATCTAAGGAAAGAGCTCCTTCACTTATGCAAGGAAGTGCTTGTATCATTTCGGCCCTTGTCTTGTATACTTGTAGACGAGAAAAGAGATTATAAAAGAGAGTTTCTCTGAGGCCATAACCACTGGGAGTTACACAAAATAGGTTGGAGTTGTCTACATGAATCATATTCACTGCAAAGCCAAGAAATCCGGCTGGACAGTCTCCATTGGGCAATCTTGGATTTAAAATATCCAACTTCCGTTGTGCATCATTAACCACATAATTACCAGCATAGGGCCTAAAACATACAAAATGAAAAAAGTTAAAAAAAATAAATAAATAATTTATCCACAACCACAAGTGAAAGGCATAGGCACAAGACTCTTGAAGTTATGCCTCAAAGATTCAAGACATATCACTAGAAATCGACCATCCAAAGCCCTTCCAATAGAGGCACCTAGCCCATGAAGACCATAATTTTTATTTATGCAGCCTTCCTTATCATATGATTCAAGAGCTTTAACCCCTTCATAAGTTCTACAAACAATTGCCAGCATAGTCTCCACTCCTAGATACTCCGAGAAAAGTCTGCAATCCAAATAAGTACAGTGAAACTACCCGCATTTGTGCTTTACATATTAATAGATATTAGCAACAACAACAAACAACAGAAGTTTTATCCCACTAAGTGAGGTCGGTTACATGGATCACATGACATCATTCCACTTGGTTAAAAACCAAATCTTTAGAGATCATACCAATAAAGAGAAATACATTATTTTTATCCTGTTGAAGATAACAGTAACACCACTGAGACCAAAGAAAAGAGAATTTATTACAAGTTTGATACAAGTGTGTGACCACACAAGCCAGAGAGAAAATAAATGTCAAATCTCAAATGTACCTGCTAAGATTGTCATTCTCAACTTTACCCAGTGTAGCAACAATACCCACAACATCCTTAGTCAATGTAAGATCAGAAGCCTTAGCTCCATGACGAATCTTCAGCTGGCACAAAATACCAGCAGCAGATTTTTCATTATGCAATATCTGTTTATTTACTTCCTCATCATTTGTAGGGAGGGGATTTTCCATATCACCTATCGTGGCCTTACTTGAAGACTCTGATTTCCCAACAGTAACTATGAATGCAAAAAGAAAAACAAAAATGATACTTTATCTTCATTAGTAGAGAATTAAAACAGAAAAGGGAATAACAGATTGCTTACACAAAAAAAAAAAAAAAAAAAAGTTTAACAAATAAAAATTTGAAAATTTATTGCATCCTAAATAGCAAATGACTACATTTGGAATATGCACCTCAATTTTCAATCTATGCATATCATAAGCAGTAATGTAATATGACTAACATCAATAGTTATCCATAAACCTTATAAACAAAATAAAAATATTTAAATAAGCAGATAAAACTACTGCACCACACTTCAGAATCTTCTGGTGAATAACAACAATATTAATGAATTGACATTTTACTTTGTTGTAGTAACATATAATTGGATATTTGTAAATAGAGTAACTATGTATAGCTTATCTTTAGGGCTGACTTTTAGGGATTTTATCTTTCTGTTATTTCTCAAGTTTTCCTAATTATTGTATTCCTCTTGACTATAAATAAATCAGTTTGTGTGTGAGGAAGTACACACAATTCCTGCAATTCCTATAGTTGTCATCGAAATACCTACTTTGTGATTGCATACAACCATATGAAAACTAACAACACTGATTCTGTTAATGCACCTTACAGAACAGGATTATAAATATTTTCATTATAATTATCTTCTTGTCCACCTGCCAAACAAGAAAAATCCCTTGGAATGCACAACAAATGTACCTTGCAAATGAAGAATGGAGTCATCTAATTTGCTTTTCTCAGTATTCAAATGATTTAGGTTGTTCTCATGCTGCTTAATTTTCATCCCTAACGTACGTAGTTCTTCTTCAAGTTTCTGTAAGTATTCCACAGGTATGAGGTAAGTTTATAATTTAGAATAAAGCATCATCACTCAATTGAAACCCATAAACTTAAGAGAACCGTGCATCTGCCATTAAGTAAAGATAATACAACTTGTGCACGCACAAAGAAGTAAGATGAAATTATTTTATTTACAAGCAATTAGTAGAGGAAAAGAGTCATCCTTTTTCATTCATAAAAACAACATAAAATATAAGCAACCTGGGAGTGTCGCATGAAGGATTGTGCTTGAAGAAATTCTTCATTTTGCACATTCTCCTCTGCCTTGACAGTGTTTTCATTCAAATCCACTGGCACCAGTGCGGAAGAAGCCCCTTGGATGGATAGCGCATTTGTATGAACCAAATGCTACACAAATGGAGCTTGTTGGCATTCATAAATACAGATAATGTTTGCATATGTGAAAAGGTACACAAATAAGCAACAGGCCAGTATTAGAGAGGGACAATAGAGTTTAGCTGCATGGAATTAAGCTACTGGTGTATGTGTGCAAGAGATTTTCAAAATAATGAAAGGTTGCATCCTCTCATAAAAGTATCTGTCTGTCTATTCATAAAAAAATACAAGTAGTATGAAAGATGTTCTTTCAAAATTATGTATCTATTCATGAAAATATGCAAATATAAAAAGCAATGTTCTTTCATAAAAGTATGAGTCTGATTGGATACTAACTTAGAAGCACTTTGAAATTTTCTCTACTAGAAAACACTCATTATTTTCAATAAAGAAACTCTCAAAAGTGTTTCTAACTCGCATCCAAATAGGCTCTATATCTCTTTTTTAAGTGTAATTTCTCCTCACCACAAGGCATGTTTTGATTTTAAAAAGTATCCACTTTTCTTGTAGATTCAAACATGAAATTGCATAATTTTTGCACTTTAAGTCATTTCTTTCTCCCCTTGTACGCAGCTACAACTAAAGAACTAGCCCGTGTAAAATAACATTGTCTACATAACCTTTATTTTGGACTTGCAAACCAAGTCAAACCTAAATGTAAGCGTACTAATGGGTGTCGCTTTCTACCTTTTCTGCAGAAGAATCATCACCACCACCAACAATGTGGGTTATACGATTTTCTTCCATTACAAACGTGAGCATAGAACAATGCAAGTGCTATTTCCAAGAGTCAACAAATTTCAAATAAATTTAGGATGAACAACGAAAATCATGTCGTGTTTCAAGAATAGGTCACAACTTTGATCGCGATACCCCAGAGCAACGCGAATGCGGGTAAGAAAAAATGCAGGTTACTTGTTGACACAAGACGAGATAAGAATAATTAAAATTATTATTATTATTATAGACCCCTAAAATTAAGTAACATGAAAGGCGAAATAATTAAATCGTGACTGCAGAACAAATTTGTTGGCCTTTCCCGCTGTTGAAAACATGCGATTTCTCTTCCTCTTGGGTTAAGCCGAAAAGTAAAGGGGGAAAAACTAGGAAGAGCAGTTTAATTTTGCATGGCGTGGGAAAGGAGAATGCAGAGAGAAACTAACCTGTTTGATGGCAGAGGAAGGGGGTGGTTGAAACATGACTGAGAGTGAAACTGAGACTGTGATTGCAGAATGTGAAATTTGAGAAACGAATAGGGGCCTGAGAGTAAAAGGAAGAGGAGAATCTCTCTTTTCTCCCTCCTTATGCCTTTTCTCACAATTCCAATGTTGACTCAACAAACACTTGCTTATGTTATGAACCACCTTCCTTGGCTTTATTACATTTTCAAATAATATTCAATTTCTTTAATTAATTATTTTGCAAACTTAAATTATATTTATATGTCATTTTTATGCGCATTAAAATCCATGCCCGTGTCTTGTAGTGTATCTCTTTTTTTTTTATTACATCAATATCTATTTATTTATATATTGGACTTAATATTTAATGTTATTAATTTAATAATCATACAAATATGTAAATAAATATTTTCATATAATATAAATAGAGATGTAAATAGTTATAGGCCTTGAACGATATTTATATTTTTTTATCTTATTTAATATAAAAAATTAAGTTTAAATTTTTAAAAAAAATTAAAAGTTAAACAAAATTATAAAAAAATATTTATTAAATCTGATAGAATAACTTATTTATCTATATGATATAATAAAAATGATATATATATATATTACATTATTAACAATATAATTAAATAAATAATTTTGTAATACAAAAAATTAAAATATTACTTACATTTTCACTATACTTAAACATTTTACATTCTTTGCTCATATGAAATTATGAAAATAAAAATTTTAGTAGTTGTATCTTTGTCTGTTCTTTTCTTTTCATTGTTATGATTGATTATTTAGAATATTTTAAATAGGATATAAACAATTTTAAAAAAAAATTGTGTGAATATATGTTAATATACATGATATGCATAAGTTATTTTTTGGTTATTTTTTTATTTTTTGTTTTAAACTATAAATTTTAATAACAATAGAGTAAATTATTTTTATCATCCAAAAAAATATAATGCAAATTAAAAAAATAGTTTTACACTTATTTAAAAATATAATAATTTATTTATTTAAAATTAAATTTACTGATATATTTAACGCTGTTAATGAAAAATTGGCTAAATAGACAAGATCATGCCTATAAAAAAATTATGATAAATAATAAATTAAACTTAAACTTTGATTTTATAAAGTGGACATATATATTAAAAGTATGGTCTGACACAATTTTAAACGACACAATTTTATTATCAAATTAAAGTTTTCAATAACGTATATTTTACATTCAATTTTAATGATGTAATTATTAAATTGAAAACTTTTAATGCATGGGTTAAACTTACAATTTTTTAAAAATAAAAACTTGTTTAATATTTCATTTTATTAATTCAGATTGATGGGTATTTTATAAAAATATTACATTAATTTAAATTTTTATACTGAGGTATCATATTAAACTTTACAAGAATTTGTAGACTTAGTTTATACATTATGTCAGCTTTAAGTACCGTCAAAGTAGGCAATTGACCAGAGCCTTATTCTCAGAAGGATACCAAATTTGTTTTTAATAAGGGTGTAAGCGAGTCAAGTTTAGTTGAATAGATAATCAAAATTCAACTATGAATTTGTGTATTTTTTTTGTAAATTTAACCCAACCACAAACGAGTTAAATTGGGTTAATCTCAATCTAACATCATTTATTTTATTTTTTTTTTCTTCTCTAACTTTAATATTATACATATAAAAAAAATCTTCTATCTTAAATAACATGTCCTCTTGAGATTTTATTTACTGCTTCTCATATACTAAACTATTAGGAACATGTGCCGAAAATTTCTTAGATTTTTTTTTTAAATATCGTTTCATTTTTTTTATGGTCATAAACATAAAGCCTTAAAGTTGTAATTGATTTTGGTTATTTAATAATAAATTTTATATGTTATTTGGAAATGACCAATTTTTTCATGTAGAGTTTTATGAATAGAATATAATTTTGTTGATTTAACAATATACTCATCTTTTACACCCATTTAAAATTTTGGATAGAAGTAGAAGAAAGTATATTTGTCATGGTGATTACTCTCTATAACGACTATAACCGAATCGTAAATTTTATAATCTTATATCTCCCAATGACATAATTTTACTACTATTTTATTGTTTCTTCTTAAATTTAACTCAACATTCCGAATGAACTAAGCATTTTCTACTTTAATTAGTATTGCATTTAACAAAGCCTACCAACGAATCTACTAGATCTTTTAGGACTTAATTACTAGGACCACTAATTTAAAAGTTAACCAGCATCTTAATAACTTCCATTACTCCAATTAATACTAACAAAAATTTAAAACATCTTGGGGCTTCAACTCAATCTTAGTTACTCCCATGACTTAGGCTCTTAAACCAAAGCAGGTAGGTGACTTATTTGAAATAAGAAAATTAATGAGTTTAGAATAACTTGTTTAAACTTTAATCTCTAATTAAGTCGTTTAGAAATCACACCAATATAATTTAGTGCACATTAACTATTACACCAAATAATAACCTACAATTAAAAAAAAATAATTATAATACATAATTGGACCAATAAAATTTATATTCTATATAAAATTATAATAATAATAAGTTTAATTAGTTTTTTAGTCTAATAATTTCATCGATTTTTTTAATTTTATAATTGAAAATATTATATTTTATTTTTTATACATATCATTTTTATTTTAATATTTATAATTTCATAATATTTACCTTATAGTCCTTGTAGTATTAGATGATAGGAATTAAAAGAGAAAAAAATGATATACATGAAAATTAAAATGAAATATTTTTAATTATAAGAACCAAAAAATAAAATTTTACAAAACTATTAAAATCTAAATGGTAATTACACCTTGTTATTCGCTAGTAATTTTATTTTACATAAATCTCTTTTGTTTTTATTTATCTCAATGGTAATATTTATGACTTGTTTGATTTGCTAAAAAGTTTGGTATTAAATAAGATAAGTATAACTTAATTTATAAAAGGATCATGGAACAAGACAAATAATTTATTTACTAACATTATCCTAACCTTTATCATTATCATTATTGTCGTATTAATACTATCTTCACCCTTTCATTAGCATTGTTGTTGTATTATTTCCATTATTTTTCAACACCACTATGTTTGTCATCTCCCACCACTATCACAAACCACTATTATTGTCACATGTGATTATTGTTATTATCAATCACTATCATATCCTAATCATTATCATCACTATTATTAGTATTATTGTTGTGATCACATTTTCACCACCATCATTTCATTAAAATAATAGTATTTTATTATGATAATTAATATTAAAAATTTAACATTATTATGTATATAAAATAAAAAATCTTCTAGTAACTTAGCATTTGTCTATTACTATTGTCTTATATCTTAATATATATCAAATGTAGGTTTAATCTAACTATCTTAGTGGACAACTAGATAACCCAAATCGTGGGTGGGCTTCTTAGGAACTCCTCTCTCTTTTCTATTGCAAATTGTCTAAGTGGGTTTCATTTCAGTTCAAAAACAGTTTTTTTCTTGTTACCCAAGCCTGTTACTTTGGACTCACTTTTTTTTTGCTAGCCCACACACTCCCTCACATTTTCACAGCCCAATTCTGCATTTGCCTCTTTGAATTGTCTTCTTCTCCACCTTAACCTTAACCGATCTTTACTATTTGCTCATAAACACCTTTCCCAAATTTCCCTTTCTTCATTTACCAAGTGCAAGTGCAGTACACCCTCAATCTGTGAAGAAAGTTTAACAATCCAACCCCAATATCCACTTCCACTAAAGACACACAATAACAAAAATATTTATATATTCACAAAAAAAAAAAAACTATTGGATGAGTTACAACAAAAATTGATGTGGTTGCATAGAAGATTATTTATAGAGCTTAATAGACATATAAGACTAGTACATTTTTGGTTTTGTATATCATCAAATAATCATAAATTATTTTTAGAATTACTTTTAAAAAAATATTATAGAAGTTAATAAACTTATTATATATAATAAATATTGTAACTGAGCGATAATAAAATAGTTTTTACATTAATATAAAGTTATTAATTAATGAATGAGCAGGACGTAAGCAAAAAAGAAACAATGAAAGGTGCATGTGACCAAACTTAATTACAAGGGATCAGAAATGAATGAAAAAAGAGGGCACATAAATAAGACAACCGGCCTTTCTAATGCATACCTTTTATCTTGTTTCCTTTCAATGCAAGCAAGCAAATAACCCATTCATGCTCAATAAATTTTAGTTTCTTTTTTCTTTTTTATTTACCACAACCCTTAAAGCACATTTAGCAATAAAAAAAGTGTTAATCACCTATACACTGTTAATGTAAAAAAAATTTTACGCGGACAACCAATCATATCTTTTAATAGTGACATGTTAATTGTTTATTTAATAAAATAATAATAAAATAAATAACTTTAAAAGATATAATCGGTTGTCAATGTAAAAATTTTACACTGACAATACAGGGATAATTAACTCATAAAAGAAATGTTGCAATCAACACACCTCAACAAGGGAAAGA